CTGTGAGGATGTTATGAACGTGATGCCCATATCAGTTGCTAGTCTATAAAGGTGTTCTTCAACGTCAACACTTGTAGCACTGCCATCGAGGATCCGGGTGAAAAAAAAAAAAAATAGCAAGATACCATGAGATCACAGATAAGCCCTGTTTTTTTAAAGGAGAAAAAAAATAAAAATAGCAAGTTTTTGTTGCATACTTGGTGCACTCATCAAGGATGCCAAAATTAGGCTTGTGAAAGAACAGACTTACCTTGTAAAACAAAATATATTTTGTCAAATACTGTTGATGACCGCGCCATGATAGCTGATTAAGTGGCGCCACCTCTGTAACATAGACACAACTGGCCAGTGCTGACCTGGCGTGTCCATGATGGATTAGGTATTCTCGAGCTACCTATCCGATAACTGAACTCACTGGTCGAGGAAGGGGTCGCTACCCTTTATCTACTGTGGACGTGCCCCGCTCTAGTTGGATGGGCTCCTCCCCCCCTGGCTCGTTCGAGGACGCTCTCTGAAAGAGCGACCTCGATTAACCTGTTTACACATTTCCCGTCTCGGCAAAGAGGACCTCGGGATAAAATTGAGATTGGACCCTGTGAGGTCATGAAGGTAGGACCTCAAAAGGGATTTATCCCCACTGAAGCACGGAAATCTGAGGACATGTGGATAGGTGGCTGAGATCTAAGGGCTCACCTCAGCTCGAGGCCAACACAAGGGGGAAAGGACACTTGGTACCTAAGCTCGAGCAATGAAGGATAATAAATGCATTAATTGCGAAAGACGTTTGACAAAACCCGTATTAATTAGGGAGCGCTGTTACCTCATTTGACCGGGGGGCAAAGCGCTGCGGCCCATCCATCAATGTCTCATCTGTCTGAAGAAGAGACCATCGAACCTTTGGGTAAGAACGGGCTCAGCTAAAGGACCAAAAGACATTGACCGATGAGGTGAACACTATAAATAGGGGTGTTAATCAGCCTTTTAAGACACAACTACCACATTAACGGCTATTCTCTGACAAGCTCGAGCTCACATGGTACTAAAGTTAGCTTTCCCTTTCTTAATCTCCATACCTAGAGAATCTCTTGTGTTGCTTGGATCTCCACTTAGATACTGATCTCAGACTTCTTGGCCTACGTAGAGTGATCTCCTCATCCTACTCACGAACCATCATCAACATTTTGGCGACTTCACTGGGGAGGAGCGCTTCGCATATGTCAAGCATACGGGAGATCAGTCCACCTTCCCAAACTAGCCCTGCTCTAGATGAGGGCTATAACGGATCTGTGAGTATGCTTGGATCGTATTTTCCTGGAACTAGGATTATCTATCCTGATGCCTTGGTTGAAGCCCACAATGCGCTATCACATAGGATGGAGCAGTTAGAGAGCACGTAAAGAGAGGTGGTGACACTACTGCGGGAGATTGTTAATAGAGGGGTACCTCGACGAGAGACATGTCCGAGCGGTGTTCCCTCCATCGAGCTCACTGGGGGGGCAATCGACCCCAAAAAATGTGACGCGACGTACACTCTCATCATCAGCTGAGGTAAGACGAGCCGCTGGCCGATATAGACGGTCACGAGACGCACCGCCACGGGCCCGCCGAACTCTTTTTAGTACTCCCCTCATGGCACCCGCAAGATTGAGTATGCCAAGTACCAACCGAAGGGAGGCATAGTATGGGGGCATGGGTTCAGAAGAACTCGGATGTCAACAGGATCTCGCGCAGCGGTCGCCGTATGTAACTATGGCGGATCTGCAAACGCTGCTGCGAAATGAAAAAAATATGCTGATGCAAGAAACAGCTCCCGAGCCACCCTACACGCAATCCATCGCGCTTCTCCCTTACCCCCCGGGGTATCTGACCCCTAAGTTCAGCAAATTTGATGGAAGAAAAGGGAATCCGCGAGAGTATGTGGTACGGTTTATTGAAGCCTTGGGGCCCTTCGGAAACGATCATACTCTGCGACTTAGAGAGTTCTCAAAAACTCTCACGGATAGGGCCTACAAATGGTATGCGAATTTAGAGTCCGGGTCGCTCACTTCTTGGAACCAATTAGCCATGATTTTCCAATCGAAGTTCTTTCAGGCAGAGGAAAAGGTGACTACCCTCTCCTTGACTAAGGAGATTCAGGGTCCTGGTGAGGACTTACTTACGTACGTCTATAGATTTCATGATCGAGCTATGGAATGTTACGAAACCCATGAAGAAGAGGCACTGGCTAAAATTTGCATACAGGGTATGCAGGGATCCTACCGAATCCATCTCATTAACTTAAAACTCCCCACTTTTGTTGATTTGATAGAGGCATCTCGAAATTTGGCGAGTAACCTTGTTATCTGCGTGCAGGGCACTACACAAGAAGAGTATTGAGGCAGACATAGACCTCAGGTTTCAGCTGCAGACGAGCCTAACAGCAAAAGGAGTGCGAGACCAGCCCGCGCCCCTTGAGCAAAGAATCTGGACGAGGAGCCTCCTCCATTCCCATGCACTACGGAAGAGGTGGAAACCATTCTTAAGAAGTGGATCCAACATGGAGATATCAGACTGCCTGAGGTTCCTCGCGAGCCCACCACAGAAGAAATGGCTCACCCCAAATACTGCATGTATCATCGACATACTCGCCATCCTACCTACGACTGTTGGGCATTGCGAAATACTTTTCATAGACAGATTGCTAATGATGAACTCATCCTCCCTCCCAGGGACGTAAGGGAGGAACCTTTTCCTGCACATGATCGAAGAACTGCAATGATGGTCTCCAGCGTGGTAGATGACAGGGAAAGAACCGAGCACGATGTTTTCTTGCCTAGCGATGACTATTATCAGCATGGGGACAGCGCTGCCCAGGTCGCGCTGGTTAGGGAAGACGATCTCAATGCATTCTGCTTATTGGAAACTGCCCCCGTCAAAAGTATCTTTCAAAAGATGGATTTCTCTCCTCTTGCTCAGAAAGAAATTGCTAAGTTCCTGTGGTTGGCGGCGAAGGAGGGTGTAAAGGAAGTCGCATCAATCACATCACTCCTCGTACCTCAGAGATCATCCAGATTGGCCATAATCTTTACTGAGGAAGACAAATGTGTTCCTACTTCGCACAATAGGCCGTTGTATGTCACGGCTTCTCTCAATGGGGTCGAGCTCAAGCGGGCATTTCTTGACAATGGTTCATCCCTCAATATCATGCCATTGGAAATCTTCTGTCGCACTGGATTGCCGAGCGAGAAACTTATCCGAAAGTCGACTGAAATCGCCGGGTTTGGGAGTGATATCCGAAGGACTAAGGGATATGTGACAACCGAGCTGGTTATTGGAAAATTCAAAGGTCCAGTTAAGTTCCATGTTATTGATTCAAACACCTCTTACCACTTACTTATGGGTCGAGGTTGGATGCATAAGTTTAGGATTGTCCCATCTTCGTACCATCAGTGTATGAAAAGGTTCTAGAACGGGAAGTAAGTAACGTTTCGCTGCTCTGACCGACTGTTCACTAGCAGAGAGTCTCATATGGTGGAGGCTGGATTCTTTAATGAGTTAGAGGACGCGGAGGAACCCCAACCGTTGAAGGCTTGCCCTCTACTGAAGTGGGAGGATATTGACCGACAAGGAAGTAAAAAGATGCCAGGAGCGAGTGCCAATCAGAAGAGGCTAGCTATTTGCAAAAGGGTACATTTAGCCGATGGAAGGATCGCTTATCGCTTATGACGGTGTTGGGGGGCACAACCTTGGGCTAGACCGTGCCCCCGTGTGGAGTCATGTCAAGTGAAGTCTCCGGGCCATGAGAAGGAAGTTAGAACGGAGTCAGCTGAATCTGTCCGGCTTACTCAGGGAGAGCTGGAAGAAGTTAATCTAGCCAACGACGGCCGTCACCGGGTGGTCTATATAAGTAAGCAGTTGAAACAAAATGAAAAGGTGGCGTTGATAGCCCTGCTTAAAGAATTTGAAGACGTCTTTGCCTGGACGTATAAAGAAATGCCGGGATTAGACCCTCGGGTAGTGGCTCATTGTCTTCATGTGCGACCAGACGCATGCCCGGTTAAGCAAGCGCAAAGGAGTTTTCGGTCAGAGCTTGAGTTGCAAATAACAGAGGAAGTACAGAGGCTTTTACGAGCTGGCTTTATCAAACCGATTCAGTATCCTACATGGTTGGCGAATGTGGTCCCGGTAAAGAAGAAGAATAGAAAAATCAGGATTTGTGTTGACTTCAGAGATTTGAACAAGGCATGCCCTAAAGATGATTTCCTGCTACCCATGATTGATAGTTTGGTAGACTCCACTTCGGGGCACGACGTGTTCTCATTCATGGACAGATATAGCGGGTACAATCAGATCAGGATGGCGCAGTGCGATGCGGAGAAAACGGCATTTCGTACCCCCATGGGGAATTTCTACTTCACAGTCATGCCCTCGTCCTAAAGAACGCTGGGGCGACTTATCAGCGAGCCATGATAGCTATCTTCCATGATATGTTACACAGGCAAATGGAAGATTATGTGGACGATCTGGTGGTAAAATCGCGAGCTCGGGGTGATCATTTGGCTAACTTGAGAAATGTTTTCGAAAGGTGTCGAAAGTACAAGCTAAGGATGAATCCGTTGAAATACGCCTTCGGTGTCGAGGTTGGCCGATTCCTGGGTTTTATGGTTCATCGGCAAGGTGTGGACATTGAAGAAAGCAAGGCTCGGGCTATCATGGAGATGCCCCCACCGCAGTCCCTCAAATAGCTGAAGAGTTTGGTAGGGCGGGTCTCGTACCTATGACACTTCATACCGGCGTTTGCCGAGGTAACATACACCTTTGGCACCTTGATGAAAGGAGGCTCCGAGTTTAAGTGGAATGAGGGACATCAACAGGATTTTGACTAACTCAAGAAGTTATTAGCGTTAACGACCACAATGATAGCTCCCCAGATAGGGGTCCCCCTCAGGCTTTACATCACTTCGACTGAACGCTCCATAGGAGCACTTCTCGCCCAGGAAAATGATGGCTGAGAATGTCCTATGTATTACATAAGTCGGGTCATACAAGGTGCCGAGGTGCAGTATTCTCCGATAGAGCGCCATTATCTTTTTCTAGCATTCGCAGCCAAAAAATTTCGCCAGTACTTCTTAGCTCATACCATCCACCTCATCACCAAATATGACCCTTTGAGGTACCTGCTCTCGCGACCCATCATTTCAGGGCGAGTGGCGCAGTGGCTACTAATATTGGCCGAGTTTGATATCCAGTGCCTTGCACCTCGCGCCATCCTGAGTCAGGCCATGGCGAACATGATTGCTCAATTCCCTTCTGAAAACTTCGAGCCACTGCACGATGACTTGCCTCATGATGAGTTCGAGTCGGTTTGTTGTGCGGATCAAAGCATGATGTGGACCCTGTCATTTGATGGATCGTCAACCTCCACAAGAGGTGGCGTGGGAGTGGTATTAACACCCGAGGAAGGGAAAGTCCAAAATCTCTTATTCAAGCTCACTTTTGGATGCTCCAACAATATGGCGGAATATAAAGCTCTAGTGTTAGACCTACTGGTAGCACGGGAAGTTAAGATCAAGCGGTTGTGCATCCAAGGTGACTCGAATTTGGTGGTGAAACAGTTGGATAGATCTTATGCCATCAAGGAGCTGGCGTTAGCGGCATACAGAACAATCATTTAAAAACTCAGCAGTAACTTTAATGAGCTCTGTATAACTCATGTACCTCGGACGGCCAATCGACACCCGGATGCTCTGGCTACCTTGGGATCTAAAGCTGAAATTACAAGAGAATCAGTTGACATTCGAATCTAGAAAAAAGAGGAATCCTGCTTGCATAATGAAGAATTTGTTGAACAAAAGAACGAGGAAGACTGGCGAAGCCCGTACGAATCGTAATTGAAGGGCAGTGCGGGAGAAATTCCCTTGCAAGTACTCAGAAACTTTACTCTGTATCTTGGAGTATTGTATTTTAGAGCACCTGGTGGGACCCTGGCAAGATGCATTGGGAAACAAGAGGCCAGCCGAGTGCTAAATGAGGTTCATAAGCACACGTGTGTCGACAACTCATTAAGCCTGTATCGAAAAATACAAAGGTAGGGATAATACTGGCTGACAATGGCAAAAGATGCAGCGGCTGTCCAAAAAAGCATGTCCTAAGTGCCAAGAACAGCTTGAGGAAGCCTAGTGTGTAGCTAATGTTGAGGAAGACTGGAGGCAGAAGTATGTGGAGTATCTTGAAAAACGATTGCTCCTACAAGATCCTAAGGAGGCTGGGCTACTTAGGAAAGACGCAGGCCGATTCTTCATTTGTAATGGCGAGTTAATGAGGCGAGGTTTTGACGGCAATGCTAAGCGGTGCATCAGTTTGATTAAAGCCCGTGAAGTCTTGAAGCAGACGCATGAGGACGAACACCAGGGATGGAAGATATTGTACAATCGCATCATACAGCTAGGCTATTACTGGCCTATGATGCAAACTGATAGCAAAGATTATACCCGTAAATGCCAGGTCCACAATCATGCGATCCACGCGCCAGCTGTGGAGCTACATCCCACGGAGGCTCCTTGGCCATTCCACACTTGAGCCATGGATTAGAGAGGACCAATCTCACCGAAGTCCAAAAAGATGAAGTGAATACTAATGGCAACAGAGGTTTATACTAAATGGGTCGAAGCGATAGCCTTGTCAACAGCAACTGGACAAGTGGTGGCAAACTTTATCAAAGAAAATATCATATGCCGTTTTGGCATACCTCGGATCATTGTATCAGATAATGGAACCTCCTTCGTCAATAGCAGGGTCCGTGCGCTTCTTCGAAGGTATCGGGTGGCTCATTGAAAGTCAACACCCAATCATCCAAAAGGTAATGGACAAGCCGAAGCCACTAATAAGACATTGATTCATATTTTGAGTAGAACGTTGAAGGAGCAGCACAACAAATGGGCTGAGTAGTTACCGCTCGCGCTTTGGGCTTACCGTACCACCACAAAAGGAGCTACAGGAACCACACCCTTTTCCTTAGTATACGGGACAGAAGCAGTGCTCCCAATTAAGGTAGCAATCCCCTCTGGGAGTCTAACCGAGCGAAGCCAACTACAGTTTGATCAACGGATTGGGGAACTCGATGGGCTTCAGGAGCGGAGGAAGCAGGCAAATAGTAAGATAGTGGTTTATCAGAGAAGGGTGGCTCGGGCCTACAACGCCACTGTCAGACCTTGAGCATTTTAAGAAGGTGACTTGGTTCTAAAGGCCGCAATGCATGTAATGCGAAACTTGGTCGTGCCAAAATTCACTCCGAAACGGGAAGGCCCCTTCGAAATCAAGGCTGAAGCCCCAGCGGATACTATGACATCTGGAGAATGGGAAGCAACAAGATACTAGGCACTTTCAATGTCAAGTGGTTGAAGAAATACTATTCTTAATTTCTAGGCCTCACTCAAGGCCCTGTGACTGTATTGAGATCCTGAATTTCAAACTACTGTAAGAATGTGTAAAACTTTAAAAGAGCCCGAGGGACCTTATGCTTCCCTATCAATGTCTAATGTCTGAATAATTTTCCTTTTTTTTTTTTTTCTCGAATCTAATTCTTGGATTGACCTCATCCCTGGTAAAGGTCATAAAAATACACGTGTAATAGAACTCTGAATGGGCATTCGTATGAGCCTATAACCTGTCTTACCCCTGGAAGAGGTTTTTCATAATCACGGTGCCATCTATGATTTCTGGATTGCCCCATAGCTTGCAGAGGACATCTGTAATAATTTCTATTTAACATATGTCTAAATGGAGGCAAAATGGATGACACAAAAAAAAAAAGAACTGCTGATAAGCACCGAATATTGCATATTCAAGCGCCCTTTCTTGCACTAGTTAAATCCATGAATGGAGTATAATGTACAGTTTAACTCCATTTATGTATGTATTTCTAATTTCAGGTATTTTGCCCGAGAATGATCAATGAAGCGGTTTTGACATCATTTGTGTTAAAATATGTGCGCCGTGTTGGGAAGTCGTCTTCGGGACCTAACCTCTTCTGTTGCTGTTACTGTGAAGACATGGCTTAGAGTTCATAGTACTTCTGAGTTGAAAACATGTTCACAGCCTAGCTTGATGACACTTGCAAGAAGTGTAAAAGGTGCAGTTGCAAATTCCCGCGAGCGCCCGTAAAGCCACCGCAGGCGGCCGCCGAACCCTCATCCTCTCTGCCTCATGTGGCGGGGCCTCACAAGGCCCCCGCGAAGGCCCCCCGTAAGCCCCCTCGGGCGCCCACCATCGCACCGCGGGCGCTTGCCAAAATGGGCAGTACCACCCTCGCGAAGCCAAGGACCTGTGAGTGCCCGCCGGCGCCCCGCGGGCCCCCGCTGATCTGCAGACAGCTCTGTATTCCTGCTCCCAATGCTGTCCCCTTGACTTATTTTTGTGGCTCTAATCTTCCTAGGGTTGGTAGGGCACGAAAATGGGGGGGAAATGGAGAGGCCAAAGGATAAAAGAAGGGCTGGAGGCTACAAGGGGGGCATCTCATAATTTTGGAAGGTTTTAGAGAGAGAATTATTGAGTGTTGAAGGACTTGATAGGTCTTGAAGGTTGAAAGGCGAAAATGGAGGGTGGAGCTTTCTCTTCTCCTTCATCCATTGCTCCTATGGGTAACTAAACCTTCCTCTATGGAGGTGATGAAGCCCTCCCTTGTAAGCATGTTCTAGCTTGGTTCTATTTTGGGGATTATAATGTATATTTTTTGTTTTTTCATGATTTAGAGCCCCATATTTGTTGTAATGGATTTTAAATGTTTATAAATGATTATTCTGAGTTATTCATGTTGTCTTAGATGGTTACCTTTCTTAATCATATTGCTTACACTTTCATAGTGACAATGGAAGTTAGATCATGGAATGGTTTAATGACATAGAGTTGGAGAACCTAAATAGTTCATTACTTAGGGTTCCCATTTGATGGTCTATACTTGATTCTTAGCTTTATGTGCTTTCATCATTTAATTTAGGGCTTGATAATCCTTGACTTAGTAAGCATGTTCTAGGCTACATTTTAGTTTAGGTAGTTGATCATGTGAATCTTTGATGGTTTATTCTTGGCTTTTTATTTAATGAACTTCTTGAGGATACATAGAAACCAAGAGTTGCTATGTATCATAACCATCATATATGTTGTTTTCCCTTAAATTAGTCCTAACCTAGCATGTGTATAGGGATGGAGGCAGATTCACTTCCCTAGTCTTCTTAACTTGTATTTTACCTCTTTTAATTCCTGCAAGCTTTCATTTTATGAACTTCACATTCTTAGTTTTAGTGACAATCCAACAAATCCTCTATAAACCCCCTTATCATTCTAAAAAGATTCTAGACACTTAGGTTGCCATAAGCTAGCAGTCCTAGTGGTTCGACTTACCCGACCAATAACCCTATTTTACAATGATTTGTGATATTGCAAAGGTTGATGTATAATTGACAACCGATCAACTGCTTCATTAATAAAAAAAACTATTCATTAATAAACAACTGATCCATAATTTTTTCGTTACATAAATTATTCTCAGTAATACAATATTAGTGTAGATCGCCTGGAACTAGAAGGGCAAGGCCGAGCTGTGCTGAGTTGTGCTCGATCTCGTTCTTCAAAGAGGCGATATGTTGCTCCCTTAGATTCACTTGCTGTTGTAGCTCATCCAAACGAATCCTCTCATTTTTAAGAATACCTTCTTCTTCAAGGACTTGATCACAAAGATCCTTGATTTCCTCCACCATTCTCTCGCGCTCCCCAAAGGCCTTGATCTATGAAAAGATATCTTCGGCCTAGGTCACATCAATTTGTGTTCTCTTCAAATTTATAAGAAGGCGATCTAGGGAGTTGAGCTCTTTTTTGCCTAAAGAACGATCCCTGGCCCCTCGGAGACTTTCCAAAAGTTTGGGGATACTTAACATTCACCTCTTCCAAGACCTTTACCTCATCTCTGGAGACAACGGTATCACCTCATGAAATGCATGCGGTGACGCGCTCTCCTTGGTCTAACCTAGTAGGGCTTCGTTCGATGTCACCTCTCTCTTCGTCACCTTCGAGGGAACGATGCCCCTCAATGTTCGTATTCACATTTCGCTCCGGTTCGGACAAGGCAGTGGCCTCAACTTGACCAACATTTTGATCATCTTGCTCTGGACCATGTGAGCCCGAGGCTTCATCTTTGAAAGAATCATTAAAGGTCGAGCTCCCTGTCTCGTTTAAGCTATCCTCTTCGGGGGGAGGAAGGGATTGGATGGCTGACTCAACTATCTCCCGTAGCTGCGCAATAGGTTTTTGCGGTAGCACGTGGACAATTTTAACCTGCGAGTTAGTGCCGCTGTCCTTACCTCCTTGATCAGAATGATTACCCTCAGAACTAATAGCAGCCTCGGTTGCATCAGACGTGGCCACCTCGGCATCTGTAGCATACAGATGAAGGCATCGTTATATATGTATAAACTAATAACACCTAAGAATGTGTCGTTTGAAAATAACATTACATGCGTTTGAGGGAAAGTGAGTTGGGCTCCTTTCAAAGTTGAAAGTCCCCATGGCAGGGTCCACATCAGTATTGACTTCTCCCGTCTCCTCGTTAAGACGGCCTAAACCTTGAGCCAAGGGGATTAGCTCCTTTCCTATCCCGCTACGGGAAGGTATAGGAGGATTT